CGAGCCCCAACCGGCCCCCCGTGCTGTCCAACTCGCCCCCGCAGCCGGGCTCCTCAACGCAGCCAACCTTCCCGGAAGAAGCCCCGGCGGCCACCTCCTTCCCTGACGTCCCTGATGAAGCCAGCGCGACGCAGACCCACACCCTGCTGACGATGACGGAATTCTTCCCCGAGCCCTTCGGCGTCGTCGCATCAGCCACCGCCCCGGACGTCGCCCTCCCGCTGCCTACCTCAGGGCAAGACGCGCCCACGACCACCGCCAAGCCTCCCCTCAAGAAATCCGACCCCGCACTGACGCCGCGGTCCTCCTCCAGCACGCTTCCCTCTGCGCCCGGAGACCCCTACGCCGACGACGTGACCTTCCCGCCGGGCATCAGGCCCTCCGAGGTCTCCATCCACTCCATCACGGTCATGAAGGTTCCCGAAGGTGACGAGACCGTCCCCGAGGTGCTCGCGCCCGCCAGCAGGAGGCCGAACCACCGAAGGCCCATCGTCAAGGCGCACTTCCCGCCCGAGCGCAACATCTCCCGCTTCACCACCACCAACCTCGAGGAACCCGAGTTCGAGATCGGAAGCCGGTCCATTTTGGTGCAGAATATACCCAAGGAGGAGTACCAGTTTCCGATCAAGGGCCTCCTGATCATCAGCGGCGTCCTGGGAGCCATGGCCGTCTTCACCTTGGTCATTCTGATCTCGTACTGCATCATCAAGTGTTCGAAACCTCCAGCCATTAACAACTACAGGGTCACAGAACAGAAGCCTGTGGCCCAGTGAGGAATACGTCGCAAGATATCTCTTTTCCTTCTCTTTTCTTCCTCTCTTTTTTGAAGCCTAGATTTTAGTGTCATAATTCCATATATTATATTGTATACAAATGTATGTTAAGTTATAACTTATTCTTATAGTAATAGTAATTAATCCTCAGCGAAAAAGTAACCCTGAACTGTAACATATGCATCGTTGTCAGTGAGAAATGTTGAAAAAGTGTTCTTATTAAAAATAAGGGTCGTACAATTAATTATTGATGATGGTGATTAGTTATCATTGTCAACCAGATAAGAATACTCTATTCCTTTTGGGTAATGACTGTTATCTGTAATATCTAATGTACATAAAACATACATAAGAATAAAATCCCTTTTGTAAGAAAAACTTGAGTTTCAGAACCATATATTTTTCTTTTTTTACAATAAGACACTCTCAGGCATGAAATGGGTTTCCTATTCTTGAATAAAAGGTTTGACCTTACATTCTTATTTTCGTGGGACTTCTCCTTTTGTTATTATTCAAAAGGACTTCCTCTTTGCCTTCATACTTTCATTATGAACAAAATGTTTCAGTAACAATTAAAGTAAGGAATTCTGGTAAAACTGCGGCAATGCGAGTTTTTTTTTCAAACATAATATAATGTAATATATCATTTCTAATACCTATATATATATATATATACCTATATATATATCTACATCTATCTATATATTTCTATCACTCTATATTCAGGAAAAATTACAAAGATGATACCAAGGCTTCTTCCCTCTTTCTGTCTCGGGTAACAGCTGACCTTCTCTTGGTTTCTTAAGAATGTTCTCAGGACAAGCAAACATAGTGTAAAAATTTCCTTCACGACTCTCAGGAACTTTTAGAATTCTTACAAAAAGACTATAAAAAAATTTAGGTGATGATTTCTCTCAATAACAATGTATTCTTCTTTACAATACTAGGTTTCATGTACTGAGCTATCATCATATTACTAACTTGAACTGCTTAATTCAAGGGTAAATATCTCCATAATAAGTATTGTTATATCATATGACTACACCATATCCTTGAAAGATGTATGGAGAATATATAAAAAATTGGCAATAAAGATCTTAGGCCTGTTGTCTTCTCAAATTTCCATGCCTATTAATATCAAAAATCTTAAATTTTCTGTAAAACTTTCCTTCATGTTAATTACTACTCAGCTCTTTTCTTTTGATCATCTTATTAACATCATCATCATTCACTGTACTTTGTATATTTTATTATTTATTTTGCTGTATTATCATCAATATTAGTTTATTATTACACTATTACTATTAAACTTATTTTTTGGCTTTATTTTTATTTACTCACTTCCATCTATCACAAAGTACATGTTCAACTGGAATAACAGTATTTATAATAAGCATTTCTTTTAATCCTACAGGTGACACATGATATAAAATGATAGAAAACAGCTTAAGTTATCTAAATTTTAATGTGCTGTATAAGAAATATGCACAAATGCATAAAATACAAAAAATATGTTAAGTAGCACCACACAACAGCTCTCAAAGTTATCTAGAAGACAGGAAATGCATTGAATGATTTACACAACCTTTTTACTATCTCTTTTTTGTAATGGAGTAAAAAACACAGGAAAAAGATAATAATAGATAATAATAATCATCAAAATGTTTACGGAGAAGCTCTTAACATTTGGTAAAATTATAAAACAATTTCTTTTGTTCACTCCATACATTGCATACTGTCTATACCCCATTGAAAAATCTACATCTGCAATGGCAAATACAAAAAAGGCAAAAACTTGCATATAACACTGTAGATGCATTTGTAAAGACCAAAAAGAAAGCAAACTAGACAAATAAATAAATAAATAAACACTATGCTCAAGTACTGTAATGAATGTGATTTTCCCATCAAGAAACATTTGCATTACAATCCGAACTTATAAAATAAGAGCTGTGCCGAAAAGCCAGGCCAAGTGTACAATAGTTAATCAAAAGATGTCAACGGATGACAAAGATTAATGTCAACACTTAGAGCAACACACATTTCACAGCAATGTTAAAGACGGTACCAGTTTTTTACTCGAATGAAAAATCCTGAATAAAAAAAACATCAATGACTTTCTCAGTTCGAACATATGTAGAGAATGGAGAGAGGAAGGGATGTGGGATGTTAACGGAGGGAGCAAGAGGAAGCAAGGGGAGGGAGCAAGAGCAGAGAGAGAGAGAGAGAGAGAGAGGAGAGAGAGAGAGAGAGAGAGAGAGAGAGAGAGGAGAGAGAGAGAGAGAGGAGAGAGAGAGAGAGAGAGAGAGGAGAGAGAGAGAGAGAGAGAGAGAGAGAGAGAGAGAGAGAGAGAGAGAGAGAGAGAGAGGGGGGGGGAGAGGGGGGAGAAGGGGAGAGAGGAGAGAGAGAAGAGAGAGAGAGAGAGAGAGAGAGAGAGAGAGAGAGAGAGAGAGAGAGAGAGAGAGAGAGAGAGAGAGAGAGAGGTGTGTGTGTGTATAGGGAGGGGGGCAGGCAAAGGGGGATTTAAATATACAGAAAGAGAATGAGAGAAAAGAGTAAAGCAAATAGACAAAGAGAGTGAGATAAATGTTAGACAGATTAAGAGACAGAATGATTTAAGAAGAAAAAGTTAAAAAGTTAAAAGGCAGAAAATATCTAGGACATTAGCTAACAGCACAAAATACGCTGGGGGAAAAAAAGAAAAGAAAACAGAATCACAAACTACTCAAAGACACGCAGAAGAATAACACGAACTTGACTACAGCAATCTTGCACTTACATTGGACTGTGGAATAAATCTTGCAAACTGTAATAAGTAAATGGAGGGCATTGTTGCATGTGTGAATACAAAAATATATTTTTGCATTTGACTGAATATGACTGCATTTTGAAGCAAAAAAGCAAAGAGATGAAGGAAAAAAAAGAGAAAAATGATGGAAAAGGAAAAGAGAAGAGGAGGAAGAAGAAAAAGAAAAAAAATAGTAAGGATAAGAAGAATAGGAATAAAAAGACCAAAGGAAAAAAAGGAACAAAGCACAAAAAACAAACAGCAGATGAAGAAGACGAAAAGACGGAGAATGAGAAGTGACACGAGAATACACTGAAATAGAGGGAAAAAAATAAGCACTGAAAATAGAAAAGCCAAAACCAGTAAAGAAGAGAACGAAACATAGCAGACTTAGCCCTAGATCTCTAACGCATCAGGTTACACAAGTCAACTACAGAAGTCGTAAATGCAGGCAACTTTTTCGTGTAGATTCACAAAAATAACTATTAAGTAGTCTCTCCTATTTCCACTCTAAAAAATTATGCTATGTCACCCAATCTTACCCTATAATCGAAGACGAAGGACCCTTCATATTGTTTAAAAAAAGGACAAATAAAATTTGAGATAAATACGAAAAACAATCAAATAAAACAAACAACTAGAAATAATGGAGATCAATGTGACCATTTTTTTTTCTTCCAACTTCCTTCTTTCCTAGACAGTCCCATAACCCTACATGCTCCAAAATGAAAAAAAAGAAAAACAATAACAAAAATAATTGACGTCGGGAGCCATTCCCTCGTCTGTCTCCGGTTCTGTTGGTCTTTCCCTCTTCTTGCCGCAGTCGCCTACTTGGGCAGAAGGCTGGAGAGATAGGTCATGGCATCCTTGAGGATCATTTTCTCACACATGAGTAGAGATCGGACGATGGCCTCGTTGCCCTTCAGGGTTGGAAGGGCAGCCTGGTCCTCCTGAGAAGGGAGACAGAAATCAGTGGAGGGGAAGGGAGAGGGTAGGAGAAAAAGGAGAGAAGAGAGGGAGAGGGGGTGAGAGAGAGAGAGAGTAGAGAGAGAGAGAGAGAGAGAGAGAGAGAGAGGAGATGAGAGAGAGAGAGAGAGAGAGAGAGAGAGAGAGAGAGGGAGAGAGAGGAGAGAGAGAGAGAGAGAGAGAGAGAGAGAGAGAGAGAGAGAGAGGAGAGAGAGAGAGAGAGAGAGAGAGAGAGAGAGAGAGAGAGAAGAGAGAGAGAGAAGAGAGGAGAGAAGAGAGAGAGAAGAGAGTAGAGAGAGAGGAGAGGGAGAGACGGTGAGAGAGGGAGATTGATGTGGGAGAGAAGGGAGAGTAGGGATAGATGTGTTAGAGGATGGGAGAGAGGGAGAGAGGGGAGAGAGTGGTGAGAGAGTGGGAGATGAGGGAGAGAGGGAGGATATGGCGAGGAGGGAGGGTAGGGATTGGGAGTGGAG